ATATTTACTAATAATCGGACTATTAAGAATAAATATATTATTTTTATTTTATTATTCTTCTTCTTACTTCAGCTTAGATAGTTTATTATATTCTTATTTCTATTTAAAAGAGCTGAATTGTCTGTATAATAAATTAAATTTAAAAAGAAATCTGTATAATACTATTTATATAGTTTTTCTCGGTAATTATACTTTTCAACAACCACCTTATTAAATATTAGATATTATAAGAGCAGTCTACTATTTTTATTCTTTTAATCTAGTTAATCTCTTTTATTTTTTTTATCTAGTTGATTTTTTTAATCTATTTAACTTTTTTGACTTTAAGTACTCCAGAGACCTGCTATTAATTATACTAATCTTATTTTATTTATTTAATTTAACTGACTCTCCTGCGTAATAATAATATATATTCCGAAGTCTTCCTGTATTTTTCTTCTTTTTTCTTTCTTTTTTTATACTTAAAATTCTTATATCTTAATACTAAATAGATTAGTTTTTAATTATTTAAACAGCTCTTACAGATATTATATCTTTTATAAAGAACTTTATATAAGTCTTTTTCAGATCTTTTTTATAAATATTAAAGTAATCTGACCAACCTAACTAACCTAACTAATTAAAATAAATAAAATACAGCAGGCGTCTTAGCTGTATTTAAAATATAATAAATCATATTTATATAAAAGTATATTTTAAAATAAAACAAACTGTTTTTATAGAATTTTCTATTTTTTTCTTTCTATATCTATTATTTGCAGAGTAATCTTAGAATTATAAGTTAATTATAATTATTTAATTTATTTTTAAAAAATACTATTAAGTTTTCTTCTTCTATTTCTTAAATATTTACAAACTATAATAATATTTAAACTAAAATAAGCTTTTTAAGCTAGATTTTTTCTTTTTTTTTAAATCTCTAGATTACGCGTGTCGCAAAGAATCGGAAGATTATTTTATATTTAACTTATAAAAAAAAATACTTTATTTTCCAGAATTAATAACAAAAGATAATCTTTTTTAAAGTCTGTATACAAGCTTAAAAACTGCTATTTTACTTCAGTCGGAAGAAGATATTAATAATATAAAACAGCTTTTAAAAAAATATATTATTTTCCGATAGAATCTTTTATATCTACTATATTATCTGTTTTTATATTCTGCAATATTCAGAAATTAAAAACTTAGAAACTAGTTCTATAAGCTACTATTTTTACAAGAATTATAAAAAAAAAATATTATTAGTAGTATTTAAGCAAATAATCAGTTAAATACTAAGTAAAGAACTATTATAGATATTTATTTATTTTTTTAATATAAATCTTTTTTAATTATTATTTTCTTTAGGCCTTTATAGCTTATAATAAACAGAACTTTTAGAATTAAGTTTTATATTTTATAATTATCTATTACCTACTATTCCGAACTATCGAGTATATTTAATTTAAATAAATAATTAATCTTATAATTTTATTTTTTTACTAAAAATTAAGTTCTTCCAATTAAGCGCAGATTAAAGAATATTTTTTAGAGTTGTTAAAAGATATATATATACAGCTGTTATTAAAGTTTTTAAATATTAGAAAAATATCAGTTATAGTAGACTACTAAACCAGTTCTAATTAAAAAGTATTTCTTATTTTAACTGGATATTTTTTAATAGAAAATATAGATTATTATAAAGTTTTACTAGACTTCCGACCGGTATTTAGATTTTATACTAGTAAGAATCTAGCTATAATTATTCTATTAATTTTATATAAATATAATCTGTTCTATCGGTTATTAGATGTAATAACTAATAATACTAGTAATAATAGTTTAATATTTAGTATAATCTTATCTAAACTCCGGACTTAGCTTAGCCAAAGTATCCAGCTTTATAATACTTTATTTAATTCTAATCTTATAATAATTATTTAAAGCTAGTATTATATATTCTGTCTTACTTATGTAATTCAGTTTATAGTTAATATTTTTCTACGAAAACTTTAGATTAAGATTTTAAATAATACTGTCGAATATATATAAAAAAATTATAATAGAAGTCTTAAAGCCTCTTCTGATATTTTAAAAACTTTTAAAAAAATATATTCTAGAAGCTATTTATAAAAGACTAATATAAAAAATTTCTATTATAGTAGAAACTATCTAAATTAGTTTTTTACAGACAGGTTCTAAAGATCTTTTTTTAATAATAACTAATAATACTAATTCTTAATTATAGATTTAGAAGATTATATGATTTGTAAATATAAACTTTTAATACTATAAAAAGTTCCAGCTTATTTAACGATTTAAATTAGGCTCGGTTTATTATTTTTTTCTTAACTATAAAACTTACTGGAACTTAATCTATCTTATAATTTACCGGGTATTTAATCTTTATTAAATAATCAACAGTTTTATTTAATATTATAATTATAGTAATATTAATTATTTTTATTCTACTATAATTAAATAAAAATAAATAAAGTATTTTTTTAAGCTTTTATACTTCTTTTTTCTTTTTATATTATATTTATTTAAGAACAGTGGGCCTACTGTTTATAAAATTTATAATATTTATAATAATCTTTTTGATTATTTAGATTACTTAATCAACCGACTGGTAAGAAAGCAGGTACTTTAAAAAAAAAAGATCTTTAAAAATTTATAAAATATATATTAAAAGCTCCAAAAATACTACTATTATATCTACCAGATAGAAGGCTATATTTATATAATTATAATTATTCTAGACCCAATATTAAAGCTTAAAAAGTTTAAAAAGAATATCTAGCTGAATAATAATACTAACTGGTATTTTAAGTATTAAACTATTTTTAAGAAAATATTCTATTTCTATTATAGTTAGAATCCGGTTATTAATATACTATTAACTATTTCTGGATTACTGTCAGGCCTGGATAAAGTCTTTTATAATATTTTTAAATATTAGAGACTCTTACCGGCAGCCGAAATATTTAAAAAATTTAAGATATATTTAGATATCGAAGATATATAGCTTATTAAAATATCTTTAATTAAACTAATACTATTCTAGGTACTATAAAATATACTAATATTCTTACTTACTGGAAGTCCCGCCGTAATTAGTTTTCTATTTTCTATTAAATAACTAAAGATTTTCTTTTAGTTGCTACTAATAATATTAGTATTAAATATCTATTTAATAATTCTTAAGATATCTGCTACTATCGCCGGAGCTGTTTTTATTCTAATATAATTAAAGTAATAATACTTCAGATGTATACCGATTATTTTACTATTAGTAAAAAGTACCAGAATATTCTTAATAATTTTAATCCAAATTTAATTATCTTTATATCTAAAAAGCAAGAAAAAAATAAAATAATTACTATCTTCTATATTAGTAAAAATAAAAATATAGATAATCTTAAAAATAATTCAGAAGATAGATTATTATTAGAAATAAAAGAGCTAGCTTTATTTAAGTCTTTAAATATTATATATACTTAGATAGAAATAAAGACCCGGTCTTCTTAATTTCTTTACTATTATAATTATTATTCTGAACAGTATAAAGAATAGTATAATCTTATTAGTTTATTTAATATTAAATTCTATATTTCTTATACTGGATTTTGTAAATATTTTTTTAAAGTATAGTATATTTCTCGGGATCACAAAAAAAGAGGTCGAGCAGGTCGAACAGATCGAATAAATTAAATAGATTAAATAGATTAAATAGATTAAATAGGTCAAATAAATTAAACAGGTTAAATAAATTAAATAGGTCAAACAGATCGAGCAGATAAGCTAAATCTAGATAATATTATTATACTATAATTAAAAGTATATTATACTTTGTATATTATTTATATAAAAAAGATATATATATTACTAATTAACCTGCGGTTATTAATCTATCTGCTATATCTAATTTTTCTAACTGGCAGGTATAAACGGTTAAAATAATAGTTATACTTTAATCTAACCGTAACTGTACGGTTAAAATTTTTTTGTATCTTAATCTGACCGCCAGGTTATGGTCAGGTTAAGGTTAAGGTATAACAGTCAGGTTAATCCACTCTAACTTAAAGTAATTATAATATATACAAAATATAGTCTTTTATTTGTTTTTTTTAATATAAATATAATAGTAAGTATCTTAGACGTTAATTTTGCTAAAATATTTATATCTAAATAATTAGTTAAGAATTTCAGAAATTAAAAATAATAAATATTAATTTTTTATTATAATTTTATTAAGTTTATAATAATCTATATATAGCTGCAAGCTTCTATTTTTTTAGATATAAAGAGAATAGAGGGCTTTTATAAAACTTTTAGATAGATATATTTTTTTATTAGTAGTATTTTTATTAATATATTTTTAAAAACTGAAAGTTCTCTCTCTGAGAATAGATAAATAAATCTAAATAATAATAATTTATTTTTAATAAGATGAATAGTATAGTTCTTATTATAATGTTTTAAGAGAATCTTAAATTAGTTAGAAGAAAAAACATCGGCGAATTTAACTAATTCTAGTAAAATAATATTATTTTAATAATATTCTGATATTTTATTGTTATCTGAAAGTTATAATTCTTTTAAAACTTTAATAATAGTATAAATACAGACTAGATTTTAATATATTTTAGTAAATTCTCGAGAATTCAGCTCTTAGATTTAAGTAAATTCAAACTACTATTACTTATTTTATAAAAATAGATAAATCTTATAATTAAGTAGAATAATTATAAAAAATAATATTAGGGCGTCTTAAATAGTAGTAATATATAATCTAATAAAATATTATTATACTTCTCTTAAATTAGTAATATCTAAAAAAAATATTTTATACTTTATAGCTAATAATAGAGATATAATTAATAGCTTTAAGCCAGAATAAGAATTTTAATAATTTAAAAAAAAAAATTATTATATAAACTTAATATTAATTAAATCATATACCGCACAACTATTAATATTTATATAGATTTTCCTAATATAAAGAATTTGTATTAGTATTAATATCTTATCAGCTGTTTTTACTTCATAATATAGAATCAAAACAGAAAAGTTAGTCTTAGTCTATTTTATTTTTTTATATTAATTTTTCTAGCTTATAATTCTTAAATCCGGGCTGATTTTTTTTAAGAATATCGATTAGTAAGATACTCGCTACTATTATATAAAAAGTATTATAATAATCTTCCGGTTAGATCAGAATAATTGAACTTAGAATTAGAAGATTAGATATCTTTATAGAGTTATAATTATTTTTAAAATATATTAAATCTATTAATTCCCTGTTTACATTTTTACTCTTATATATATAGATTCTAATAATAAATAATAAAAAATATTATCTTATCTTGTTTTTTAAATAATTAATAAATATATTTTTTAATATAGCGGCTGAAGTCAGAGAGTAACTTTATAAAAAAAATATAGCTATATTTTCTTTTAATAGCTCTAGAAAAGTATTATTTCAAAATATTCAAATAAATATAAAACTTATAAAGATTTTAGTTATTTTATTATTAAGCTTTTTCTAACTAACTTATTATATCAGATTTAAAAATAGCAGTATTTTAAATAAAAAAAATATCTACTTAAAAAAAGCAGGCTATAAATAGCTAATATTTTTCTTTTAATCTAGTAATAATTCTTTAAGATAATAATATTATTTTTATTAATAAATCATACTTATATAGCTTATAGTCTTAAGAATTTTATAATAATTATTATAAAACTTAGATAGTATTTTTTAAAAGTTATAATCTAAATTATAAAACCACTTCTAGTATTTTTGTATATTAAAGAAAAGTTCGAATTAAAAGATATTTTTAATCTTAATATTTATTTTAGATTTACTTAAGAAAGAAGAAGTTTTCTGTTGTTAATTTGATATTAATTTAATATTATTATATTAAATTTTCTATTATAATTTGGTAACTTGTCTTTATAACCGCCGATAATCTTATAATTAACTAATAGTATTTCTAACTGCAGTAAGATCCTCTATCAAAAAATCTAATAATAAAAATAATAAATTATTAGTAGTAAGAAAAGTTTCCGACTCTAAATTACTATTCGAGCGTGATACTTGCGGTAATATACTATATTTTATAAATAATTAAAAAAAAAGAATTAGAATTATAATAGAAAAGATTAGTTAGATATAGAATAATAGTAGTTTATTAATTTTAAAACTAATTCTTACTTTTCTGAAGATCTAGCAAGGTCCTAAAAGTTAAATATTAAAGAAGATAGAAGTTCTTAATATCACGACTGTAATATAGAAGATACATGGGTGTTCCGCTACTATTTTCCTATATGGTCGGAGGTTATCCATGACACTTATCTAGATTTTTTAGAATAAATAAAAAATTTAAAATAATAAATATTCTAGCTTATCTATTTTAAAAATAAAAACTATATAACATTAAAATATAAACTAGCTGGCTGGATAGTAAAATAAATAAAAATTAATAAACAGATTTAAAAAGTTTTTTAGTAAGTCTAATAATATTATTAGTTCTGTATATTATATATTAAGCTATATATATAGATTAATAAATAAAATATAGCTTAAAAAGCTACAAAAAGATTTAAAAATAAGTAGATTTTTAAATAAGTATAAGATTATATACAACAGATAGTTAAAAAAAGCAGATTAGATTACTAAAATTAAACAGATTAAACAGGTTAAATAGATTAAATAAGTTAAGCAGATTAAATAGATTAAACAAATCAAACAGGTTAAACAGGTTAAATAGATTAAGTAGATTAAATAGATTAAGCGGGTTAAACAGGTCAAGCAGATCAAACAGGTCTATCGATTACACCGTGACATTATTAATCTAACTATTTTAACCATTGTTTAAAAATATATAGAAACAAGCTTTTTGAATCAGAAAAAATAATAAAGAGAAATATTAGTATCTTCTTTATCTTTATTTTAAAAAATTAATTAAAGAATCCTAATAGTATTAACAAAATTCAGCTTTTTATAAGATTAGAGTTCTTATAGTAAGAAATATATATAAAAATATATAATTATAGCTCGGTTTAAGCTGTATATTTTAATTATAATATATAATATTAGAAAAACTATATATTTACTAATAATTAGAGTATTAAGAATAAATATATTATTTTTATTTTATTATTCTTTTTTTATTTTAGCTTAGATTGTTTATTATGTTTTTATTTTTATCTAAAAAAGCTAAATTATCTGTATAATAAATTAAACTTAAAGAAAAATCTATATGATATTATTTATATAGTTTTTCTTAGTAATTATACTTTCTAATAATCATCTTATTAAATATTATAAGAATAGTAAATATTTTAAGTATTTTAAATATCTTAAATATTATAAATATTCTAAATATTTTGAACACTCCGAATACTTTAAATATTTCGAATATTCTAAGTATTTTAAATATTCGAATTATTTAGTTAATCTAGTATATCTAATATATTTAGTATATTCAGCAAACCTAGCTAGTCTACTTATTATAATAATAGTATTTATTTTATTTATTTTCTAAGCTGTTCTGTAATAGATAAGCTGTAAATTTATATTTTTTTTCTCTTTTTCTCAAGCTTGAAATTTTTATATTTTAGTATTAAATAAATTAGTTTTTAATTATTTAAACAGCTCTTACAGATACTATATCTTTTATAAAAGATTTTATATAAGTTTTTTTTAGATTTTTTCTATAAATATTAAAATAATCTAATTAATCTAATTAATCTGACTGACTAAAATAAATAAAATAAAGCAAGCGCCTTAGCTATATTTAAAATATAATAAATTATATTTATATAAAAATATATTTTGGAGTAAAATAAACTGTTTTTATAAAATCTTCTATTTTTTTATATTTATTATTTATAGAGCAGTTTTAAAATTATAAATTAATTATAGTTATTTAATTTATTTTTAAAAAATATTATTAAGCCTTCTTTTTCTATTCTTTAGATATTTATAAACTATAATAATACTTAAACTAAGATAAGCTTTTTAAGCTAGATTTTTTTTTAAATCTTTAGATTACACGTGTTGCAAAAAATAGGAAGATTATTTTATATCTGACTTGTAAAAAAAATACTCTACTTTCTAGAATTAATAATAGAAGATAATTTTTTTAAAACTTGTATATAAGCTTAAAAACTGCTATTTTATTTTAATTAGAAAAGAATATTCTAATATAAAATAATTTTAAAAAAAATATATTATTTTTTAATAAAACTTTTTATATCTATTATATTATCTATTTTTATATTCTATAATATCCGGAAATTAAAAATTTAGAAACTAGTTTTATAAGCTATTATCTTCGTAAAAATTATAAAAAAAAATACTATTAATAATATTTAAACAAATAATTAATTAGATATTAAGTAAAGGACTATTATAAATATTTATATATTTTATTAATATAAATTTTTTCTAATTATTATTTTCTTTAGGTCTTTATAGCTTATAATAAACAGAACTTTTAGAATTAAGTTTTATATTTTATAATTATCTGTTACCTACTATTTTAAACTATTAAATATATTTAATTTAAATAAATTATTAATCTTATAACTTTATTTTTTTACTAAAAATTAAGTTCTTTTAATTAAGTATAGATTAAAAAATATTTTTTAAAATTATCAAAAAATATATATATACAGCTGTTATTAAAGTTTTTAAATACTATATAAATATTAATTATAGTAAACTACTAGACTAGTTTTAATTAAAAAATATTTCTTATTTTAACTGGATATTTTTTAATAGAAGATATAAATTATTATAAAATTTTATTAGACTTCCAACCGGTATCTAGATCTTATATTAATAAAAATCTAATTATAATTATTTTATTAGTTTTATATAAATATAATTTATTCTATTAGTTATTAAATATAATAATTAATAATACTAATAATAATAGTTTAATATTTAGTATAATCTTATTTAAACTCTGGATTTAGCTTAGCCAAAATATTTAGCTTTATAATACTTTATTTAATTCTGATTTTATAATAATTATTTAAAGCTAGTATTATATATTTTATTTTATTTATATAATTTAGTTTATAGTTAATATTCTTTTATAAAAATTTTAAATTAAGATCTTAAATAGTACTATTAAATATATATAAAAGAATTATAATAAAAGTCTTAAAATTTTTTTGATTTTTTAAAAATTCTTAAAAATATATTCTAGAAGCTATTTGTAAAAGACTAATATAAAAAATTCTTATTATAAAACTATTTATAAAAAATTAATATAAAAAACTTCTATTATAATAAAGACTATTTAAATTAGTTTTTTATAAATAGATTCTAAAGATCTTCTTTTAATAATAACTAATAATACTAATTCTTAATTATAGATTTGAAAGATTATATAATTTATAAATATAAGCTTTTAATACTATAAAAAGTTTTAGTTTATTTAATAATTTAAATTAGACTTAGTTTATTA